GACACTACTCTCTGAGAAATTCTGCTTTGTTGAGAAGTAGAGTAAAGGGGGCAGGAAGGAAACAGGACAACACGAAGTGTTTTCTTTAAGGTGAATCTGTGTGATGAAGTGAGGGAGAGGCTGGTGACACAGGATAAGGGATCCTAACCAAAGGAACATGTCCTTAGGCAGGAGAGTAGAATGGGGTCTAAAGCCTTTGATGGGAGAGCTACTTCCTCCACTGGACCAAGGTAAGGTGGGAGACGGGTTCCCACCCAGCCCCAGCATTTCCACTAAACAAAGGACAGGATTTGACAGGGTCAGTTTGCCACCACACACCTTTGCCTCTCGGTGGTCTCAGGCAGAGTGTGTCCACTGCCCCCTTCTCTTCTCACTGTCACACTACCCACCCAGGTCCCTGGCTAAGGTATTGATTCTGACCCATCAGCTCTGGCCTATGAAATGGGCTGACCTTTCAGTAGCACCTTACACAAAGAGAGGGCTTCACTCAAGAGGCATCATCTGTGGACATGACAGGCAATGGGTATTTTCTGGATTCTTCTTCCGAATAATTCTGACACCTCAAAATCCACTGAATTGTAACTTACTTTATAACGTACTAAGTGCTTTTGTATTTTTTTTATTTAATAAACTTTTTTGTCTTTTAAACAATTACAAAAGCAATACATGATTATTATAGAAAATCAGAATATACAAATGAGAAAAAATTTCTGGAATTTGAAATTCAGATAATTATTAGACAGAATACAAAAAGTGAAATCTTAAAGAAAAATGAATCAATTAGACTATATTGAAGTGAAGAAATTCTATAATCAAAAGACATTTAAAAATATAAAGACAAATGACACTACAGTAGTTATTTGTAGTTCATACATCTGACAAAGTGTTCCTTCACAGAAAATATAAAGAGCCCCCTAAGATCAAAAATAAAAAGGCAAGTCAATAGATGAGCAAAAGAGCTGAACAGGAACTTCACAAAAGAATTTCCCAAAAGGCCAATAAACACATGAAGACTTGCTCAACCTCATTAATCATCAGGAAAACACATATTAAAAGTTTAATTTGATACCATTATATACTCAGCAGGATTGCTAACAATAAAGAGAAAGCCATCCTAAGTGCTGGTAAGGAAGGAAAGAAAGTGCAACTCACAAACTCAGAGTGGGAGTCGATGTAACCACTCTGACAAATTCAGCAGTACAAACAGCGACACACAAATACCCCACGCCCCAGCAACTCTACTCTTAGGCGTATGTCCAAAATAAACACGTATGCATGTTCACCACAGACACACAGGAGATAGTCATAGCAATACTATACACAATAGTTAAAAAACTGGCAACACCATAAATGCTACCATAGTGTAGAATGGATAAATTCTGGTATATGGTATACCATACAGAAAGAAATGAACAATCTAGAATTATGTCAGGATGAATCTCACAAACATAATTTTGAGCTAAAGGAGTCAGACACAAGAATAAATATTGTATGGCTCCGTTTATAGAAAATACCCAAAGGCAAAGCCAGGCTGTGGTTTTGGAAGTCAGGATCCTTGTTACTCTTAGTGGAGATGTGATAACTGGAGGCTCAAGGAAGCTCCAGTGTCCTGGCAATGCTTTGATTCTCAACTAGGTATGAGTTACATAGGTGTGTTCACAATGGGAAAATCCACCAAGCTGTATACTCAAGATTTGTATACTTTTCTGTATGTATGTTAAATTAAAATGCACACTCACACGATCGTTCTCTGAAATCTGCCACTGAGAGATAACTACTGTTAATATTTTGGTATGTGATCTTTCAAATTTCCTTTTTGATCATTAAAGAAAAGAACATCAATTATTTAATACCCAACATTTATTGTACCAAGAATTGAGGATACAAAGATTGACAAAGTCACATCCTGGATGATCATGCTCTAGTTAAGAGAGCTATAAAAACTACATTAAATAAAGTAATGCTAGCCAAGAATAAGTGTTATAACAGCTATGAATGAAGTCCAGTGAGTGATGAGTCTGGAATCTGCAACTTTCCCAGGCTTCACATAAAATGAACAGTTTTCCAAACAGACCTAGGTTAAGAGGAGACAAATCACACCAACAGCAGGGGGTGGGGGTGGGGGGCCCTGCCTGTTGAGAAGCTACGCTGGACCACTTCAGATGAAGGATATGATGTGAATGGTAGGGAGCAGCAGGAGGCAAGTTTTGCAATAGGAAGACAGGCAAGCGTTTACGTCAAACAAAGGCTCTACGTCCACAGGCACCTGCTAAAGTTGATTCTTTATTACACACTTGGCTTCCAGGACGCCCGACTCCAGGACTGCCTGGATTTCCTCCACCTCACTGTCCCTCCTTTCTGTTTCCTTTGCCGGCTCCACTTCTCCCCAGCTTCAGTGCTGAAGCATCCGGGGCTCCATTTCACCTTGTCTGTGTATACCCAGCCCAGATTTCTCTCCCCAGTCCCAGACATTTTCATCCAACTGCTTACCTGCAACATCTCATCTAAGAGATCTAACAGGCACTTCCAAGGCAATGTGCCCAAAACAGAACTCCTCACCTCCCTGCACAAGGGTCCCCATCTCAGCTCAAAGAAGGCAACTCCATCCTTTCAGTTATCCAGGCCCCAATCCTGGAAACAGCCTCAGCTCCTCCTCTTTCTCTCACGTGCCTCACCCAGTCTGTCAGGAAACACAGTTGTCTCTACTTTCAAGAATATGTCCTAAAATCTGACCATCTCTCATTATCTTCACTGCTATCTCATCCAAGTCATCACTGTCATTCCTTAATGGTTGTGATCTCTCCCCTACTAGATACAATATACTCTCAACACAGCAAAGTGGACCTTTTGCAATGCTGAGTCTACGTCCCTCTCCTCATCACCTTACAATGGCTCATTTCACTGAGAGGCAGTCAAAGCCCTACACTATCTAGGTGTGGGTATGGATCTCGCTTAAAACCTCCCACTCTCCTCTCACCATCAACTCTCGAGTCGTGTCTCTTCCCAATCTCCCCCTTGCTCTCTCTGACCTCACCTTGGCCTCCCCAAGTATGCCAACCACGCTCTTTAGTTTTATGACTGTAGCCCTACCTGTTCAGCCCTGGATGCTATTTTTCCAGAGTGCCACATGACCAACTCCCTCACTTCTACTTTACTTTTTTCCTCAGATGCCACCTTCACAATGAAGCCGACCTTGATCATCAAGAAATGTGATGTCCCCTCCCCCTACCCACACTCTGAAGATCCCTTTACCCTGCTCTACTTTATTTTTTTTATAGCACCAACCATCTAACATACTATAAAATTCCTTATTTATTATAGTTACCATTTACCACTTATAGTTCCCTACTCAATTATAAAGACAGGGATCAAAGAAGGCACTCAATGTAATGTTTGCTGAATATATGAATGGTTAATTGGATTTGTAAGGTTATCTGCTTTATCATGAAACTTCTTTTCTGATTATAAAAGCAATGAGTTGTAGAAAATTTAGAGCAAGACAAACTGTACAGAATAAGAGAATCCACAATCACAATCCCTAGAGGTAACATCTGTCAATATTTTAAGGTATTCTCTTTTGCCATTTTTTTTCCCCACAAAGACTTGGCTTTTCGCCTGTGCCATTATATTAAGGGTAACTTTATCATCTTGAACCACTGAAAGGTTTTAGATGGTGGCGAGCAGAGCAATAAGACTGCATATTAGATGGGTCAGAGGGCAAGGGGCTCTGCCTAAGAAAAGCTGCTATAATCTCTAGATGGATGGAGAACAGAGAATCATGAGGTATGGTGCCACCAGGAGAAACCTTTCCAATCGTTCAGGTGAGAGATGACAGGGCCTAGACAAGGCAGTCTCAGGGGTCATTCTGCTGCAAATTCAAAGCTCCTTCAAAACGTTTGTGGAAAATGGAATTAAAAGATAAGCTTACTTCAGTGCAAAGGGGAAAAAAAAAACTGAAATTCATGCAGTGTTTCTGAAAACACATTTTCCATGAACTTTTTGAAGACCCATCATATATGATAAATCGCAAGAAAAGTCAGAGCCAAAGCAGCAAACATTACTTCAAAAATGTATCAAGTTTTTTAAACTGTATTTTGAGGGGCCAGCGCTATGGCACAATGGGTTAACGCCCTGGCCTGAAGCGCCGCCATCCCATACAGGCACCGGTTCTAGTCCCGGCTGCTCCTCTTCCGATCCAGCTCTCTGCTATGGCCTGGGAAAGCAGTGGAAGATGGCCCAAGTCCTTGGGCCCCTGCACCTGTGTGGGAGACCCGGAAGAAGCTCCTGGCTCCTGGCTTTGGATCGGCACAGCTCTGGCTGTTGCGGCCATCTGGGGAGTGAACCAGCGGATGGAAGACCTCTCTCTCTACCTCTCCTTCTCTCTCTGTGTAACTCTGACTTTTAAGTAAAACAAATAAAAAAAATCTTTAAAAACCTGTATTTGGAAACCAGCAGTATTATAATGTCAGTGAGGAGACAGTGAAGCACTCTTGTTACTGATCAGAGGAATAAGATTGCACATCAAGTGTCTAAAAAGTTTATGCCATTCAGCTTCATAATTCTATGCCTTGAAATCTAAACAACATATGAGAAAAGTTTCACACACAAAGTATTAAAGATAGTATTATAATAATCAAAGAGATAGAAATAACAAACCAGTGACACGGGTTATGGTTTTTATATAATAATATAAAACCATTAAAATGTGTATCTTAAAGGTTTGAAATAAGATGGAAATTGCTTCAGATGTGCTCCGGAAGCACGTAAGGCTGGACAGTTTCAGCTTTGACTGTGTCCACTAAAGAGAAGATACAGGAAACTCTTTAATGAGACCCACCAAAACGTCACGTGGCTTGTAGTAGGGCTCAGATGAGTCACTGATTGACATGACATTGACATGACATTCCTGGATTTCCCCATGGTCATTTATTTCACTTAGAGCAGAATCTTCTACGGACTTGATTTCCAAAAAATAATTTGAGTACAGTGACAACACTCACCTGGGCTGACACCAGCAGATGAGTCAGGAAAACTATAAGAATGATGTACCACTTCTTCTTCTCACAGCCGTCAAAAAACACAACGCCCCAGAACACGTGCAGCAGCACGACAACCAGCGTCATGAAAGCTGAAAGACAGTTGGCCATCAGTGCCCAGTCACACAGGCAACAGACACCAAAGCCCACCCAATGGCCCGCACTGCAGTCAGCGTGAGCAGCACCCAGAAGCAGGGCCTGGCACGCGCGCTCTAATGCTGCTGAGAAAGCAGTGCTTCTGAAGGTGGGAGCGTCCGCAGCAGCGTCTCACGCAGAAGGCAGACTTGTTCAGCGAAAAGCCCGCCTGCGTCTGGCTCCCAAGCAGCTTCCCCAGGAAGTCAGTAAGAGAACAATGAACTCTAACCAGCGTTTCCCCAATTTGCCTTCCATACTACCTGCGAGAGATTTTTCTTAATTAAAAGGAACATCTCCTGTTTATATAAATTTCCTCACTAAAATGAAATTTCTCCTTGGGTCCTTTTTATAAAAGGCCAATGGAAGAACATAATATTAAAATTCATAAGAATTATCTAATATTCTTCTAAGGCATCAAGCCCTGAATCGGATCAATACCCACAGGGTTTCTATGTGGAATAAAGTTAGCATGTGTGCTTGTGTGTCCTGCATCTCGGGTAACATTCTTTGCTTAAATGTAAGCGAGTTCCATATACTCTGCAAGACTTAACATGAAAAAAGGAAGGCATATATATTTCCCAACTTGGCCACATAAGAAGAAACCACTAACACCTACCAGACTGGCAAAACTTAAAGTCTGACAATTTTCTTTCACACTGCTACTAGAAAAACAATCTGGCATTGCTAATTGAAAGTGAAATTTTATATTCCCTACTTCACGCCAGCAATTCTCCCACTAATCTATATTCTGAAGTAATTTGGGTCATTGGTACCAGGGAACCTGATAGAAACACAAATTGTTAGGCTATGCCCTCTATCTTCTGAATAAGGAGCAGTGGCGGTAGGAGCCCAGGATAGCGCTTAAACAGCCATTCAGATAACTCCAATGCATGGTCAAGTTTCAGAACCACTGCTCTAGAGTATTTCTTACAAATGCGCATAAAGAAATATGCACAAGAATATATCAGTGCTCTGGCGTAGCAGGTAAAGCCACCACCTACAGTGCTGGCATCCCATTTGGGTGCCAGTTTGAGTCCCAGCTGCTCCACTTCCAATCCAGCTCTCTGCTATGTCCTGGGAAAGCAACAAAGAATGGCCCAAGTCTTTGGGACCCTGCACCCACATGGGAGACCTAGAAGACGCTCCTGGCTCTTGGCTTTGGATTAGCCCAGCTCTGACCATTGCAGCCATTTGGGGAGTGAACCAGCGGATGGAAAACCTCTCTCTGCCTCTGCCTTTCAAATAAATCAATAAATATTTTTTTTGACAGGCAGAGTGGACAGTGAGAGAGAGACAGAGAGAGGTCTTCCTTTTCCATTGGTTCACCCCCCAGTGGCCGCTGCAGCCGGTGCACCGCGCTGATCTGAAGCCAGGAGCCAGGTGCTTCCCCTTATATTTTTTTAAAAAAAGAATATATCAGTGCTCACTTTGTAATATATGTATTTATAATACAAAAATGCCCAGCATTAGCAGAATGAATAAATAAATCATAATGCTTTCACATAATGGAACACTATATGATCTATTTTATAAATGACTTCAACAATACAATGCTGAGTGGAAATAGAAAAATAGACTGGGGGTGGGGTGGGCTTGTGTGACATCAGTTAAGACACTGCTTAGGTCACTTGCAAACCATATCAGAGTGCCTGGCTTCAAGCCCCTGCTTTACTCCCAATTCCAGCTTCTTACTAACGTGCATCCTGAGAGGCAGTAGGTAACCGCTCAAGTAGTTGGGTCCCTGCTACTCATATGGGAGACCTGGAGTAAGTTCTGCTTCCTGTCTCTGTCTTGGTACAGCCTAGCTGTTGCAGGCATTTGGAGAGTAAACTAGCAAATGGGAGATCTATCTCTCTGACTCTCTGACTTTCGAATAAACACAATAATTTTTTTAAATACCATGGAAAAACATGTATTATTTCATTTATATGCAGTCAAAAACATGAATAAAAATATTAAAAAGACACAACTCTTGTGGTTAGAGGAAAGTAGGCTGTTAAATCTGGTATAATGGTGTCATTTTGGTAAATTATGGGGCTGGTACCATGGCACAGCGGGTTAAGCTGCCGCCAGCATCCCATATGGGCACCAGTTTGAGACCCGGCTGCTCCACTTCTGATCCAGCTCTCTGCTATGGCCTGGGAAAGCAGTGGAGGATGGCCCAAGTCCTTGGACCCCTGCAACCACGTGGAAGTACCAGAAGAGGCTCCTGGCTCCTGGTTTCAGATCGGCATAGCTCTGGCCATCGTGGCCAACTGGGGAGTGAACCAGCGGATGGAAGACCTCTCTCTCTGCCTCTCCTTCTCTCTCTGTGTAACTCTGACTTTCAAATAAATTAATCAATCTTTAAAAAAAAAATTGAGGTGATGGCAGACTAACTAAAATGATGTATGTTAGTCCCAGTGATGAGCCTGGAAAGGGAAGCGCCCCTGAAGATGGTGCCTGCTGATGTGGAGACCACAGAAGACGCCCAGACGTTCAGTTTTAAAGATTCTCTGTGTCAGAGAGGACCACAGCAGCAACTGGCACAAATGCAAACACTAACACTTCTCATCAAAAAGTGTTCATACTCATAAGGGCTTTATAAAACCAAAATGTCAATCAAACATCAGGAGAACGAATGATACTAATGTGTCATCTGTTCAGCAGCTTATGTTGGTCCTTCTCTCTGTGCATTATTGCTGTGACTGAGACCTTTCACTTAGAATACTAGTCAAGCCTTACAGCTCTGTCACTCAGGAAACACTCTTACTTATGGGATCTTCCACCTATACCTGTCCAAAAGAGCACTATTCCGTCAGCTTTAGGCATGCATCTTTAAGAAACCATCTTTCTTCCAACTTCTATGTCCATTTTTCCTGGTCTTTATTGCCTCCAAAGTCAAGTCTGAATACCATAAACTAGCATTTAAGGGGCTGATGCAGTGTCATAGCAGGTAAAGCACCACCTGCAATGCTGGCATCCCATATGGGCACCGGCTTGAGTCCTGGCTACTCCACTTCTGATCCAGCTCCCTTCTAATGTGCCTGGGATAGCAGTAGAAGATGGCCCAAGTGCTTGAGCCCCTCACCCATGTGGGAGAGCCACAAGAAGCTCCTGGCTTCACCCTGGCCCAGCCCTGATGGTTGTGGCCATTTGGACAGTGAACCAGTAGAATGAAGATATCTATCTCTCTCTCTCTCTCTCTCTCTCTCTCTCTCTCTCTCTCCCCCTGCCTCTCCTCCATAACTTTCAAATAAATAAATAAATCTAAAACAAAACAAAAAGATACACTTTAAAAATAAACAAACTAGCATTCAAGGCCCTCCTACAATCCAGACCCAAAGTATCCTGACAACATATCCTCTATTCATCTTCAAATCATCTTACAGCACAAAACCCAAACTCTTCTTCACTTGGACTACGCCTCTATGTCTTCTCCTTGTTTTGTAACAGAATCTCTTTTGCCTGAGTACTCAACCCCTAATTACCATCTGTCCCCATTTCATTGCAACCAAAGCTTACATTTATTTAAGATCCAGTTCAGGCCAGTGCCACGGCTCACTAGGCTAATCCTCTGCCTGTGGCGCCAGTACCTCGGGTTCTAGTCCCGGTTGGGGTGCCAGATTCTGTCCTGGTTGCTCCTCTTCCAGGCCAGCTCTCTGCTGTGGCCCGGGAGTGCAGTGGAGGATGGCCCAAGTGCTTGGGCCCTACACTTGCACAGGAGACCAGGAGGAAGCACCTGGCTCCTGGTTTCGGATCAGTGCAGCGTGCTGGCCGTAGCGGCCATTTGGGGGGCGAACCAATGGAAGGAAGACCTTTCTCTCTGTCTCTCACTGTCTAACTCTGCCTGTCGGAAAAAAAAAAAAAAAGAAAAGAAAAGAAAAAAAAAGATCCAGTTCAAATGTTTTCTCCTCAGTGAATTCTTTCCTGACACTTAACCTCTCCATTGAAAGCAACATATTCAATATATACTCAGTGCACATCTCAAAAGTCTGGCCTGAGGATTATGTGTAGTATCTCTGAAGTCAGGGGCTGGCGCTGTGGTGCAGTGGATTAACACCCTGGCCTAAAGCGCCAGCATTCCATATGGGCGCCGGTAATCCAGCTCTCTGCTATGGCCTAAGGAATCAGTAGAAGATGGCCCAAGTCCTTGGGCCCCTGCACCCATGTGGGAGACCTGGAAGAAACTCCTGGCTCCTGGCTTCAGATTGGCACAGCTCTGGCCGCTGTGGCCAATTGGGAAGTGAACTATCAAATGGAAGGCCTCTCTCTCTCTCTGCCTCTCCTTCTCTCTCTATGTAACGCTTTTGAATAAATAAATAAATCTTAAAAAAAAAAAAAGGAATTGCAAAAATATCAATAAGTGTAACTGTATAAAAAGTATCTCTGAAGTCAGACAATCCTGAGTTGGATTCCCAGCTCCACTGTGTGGCACTGGGAAAGCTATTCAAACTGTCTGGCAAGAGCCTCAGATGATCACTGACATCATAAAAAAAAGAGTGTTAATTGTTAAAGGAACAACAGTATTCACTGTGTTCTTGCTCCCCCATGTAGGACCTCTGTCTCTAATGAATTGTAACATGAGAACTGACTACAAATTTTCTCCCCAAACTGTACTCTTCATGTTGTGTGTGTGTGTGGGGGTGCAAATTGTTGAAGTCTGTGCTTAGCATGGAATTGGTCCTCTGTATATAAAGTCATACTAAAGATAATGAAAAAGGAGATGGGAGAGGGAGAGGGAGGTAGGATGGGAGCTTGGGGGGAGTATGGGGGAAAGAACCCCTATATTCCTAAAGCTGTATCTATGAAAAAATGCGTTCATTAAGGGCCAGCACTGTGGTTCAGCGGGTTAATGCCCTGGCCTGAAGTGCCGGCATCCCATATGGGCGCCGATTCAAGTCCCGGCTGCTCCACTTCCAATTCAGCTTTCTGATATGGCCTGGGAAAGAAATAGAGGATGGCCCATGTCCTTGGG